GGAGATGTGCAGAGGCCCCTTCCAACTTCAGCTATTCTGTGACTCTACCTCAGAAAATGCACCTCAGTGGGCTGCTCTGGCAAGCCAGAAGACACCCTCTGATCTTTGTGAGACACTCCATTTCAAGCTGTGTGTGACAAATACTCTTTAGGTGCTGTTTGTTAGACGTGGCCATGTACATGCGGGTGAAGAGTCCATGACTCACCTATTCCCTATTTAAAATACAGACTCATGGCACACTTAAAATTGGCAGAAATAAGAACCCTCCCCTTCTCTGAGCCCAAGCAAAACCAACCAACTTTTGCAGAGCAGGATGGATCAAAACATACTAGATACAGCTGTGTAAAAATATTAACAAAACTGTCACAGTGACTTACTTCATCAATCAACCAATTTGAATAGTCAAACCCCTCAGCTGCAACATAGTTTTCATCAGAATTTTGCAACAATTTTCATCAGAAAATTGTAATAAAGTGTATTTAACAGTTTAATTATTTCAATCACTGACCCAAAATGAACTCTCTGTAAATCCATTCATCCAGTGTTAGTTCAATTGAGCTTCATTTTAGCTGTTGTGCTCTGCTCAGAAGTGACTGCTGAAGCACCAGTGTTTCCATAGCCACAACAACTGATCAGGTTTTCTACGTGTGATTTCCTCTGGTTTCAATGACTGTTGTGATTGCCCCCCTTCCACCCTCCACGGGTGCTTGTCATTGCCTAGTGAGCCAAGTGTCCTTCCCAGAGCAGCTGGGGGAATGGAGGAAGAAATTACACGTAGAAAAAGATTAGAGCAGCCTCTTCTCTGGAGATGAAGTTGACCTCACAACAAACACAGACATCAGCTGGGCAACCAGTTCAACTTTTCCAAGCTGGCTCTCCCTTTATTCCCCATTTCCACACACGTCCTGCAGCGATGACATGGCCTGGATGTGATCAGCACTGTGGCCATGCCTCTGTCTCTGGGGCTCAGGGAGATGCAGGACCATGGCCATGCCTCTGGGGCTCAGGGTGAGGCAGGACCATGACCATGCCTCTGGGGCTCAGGGAGATGCAGGACATGCTGACAGCAGAGCCCACCTGTGTGCTGTTGTGCAGGGAGATGTTTTATCTTAATCTGCCGTGTGTCAATAGGGTTAGATGCAATCGGTGCCATGCCATTCAGATCAAACTCAATGGGACCCACTTGCAAGGCTGGGATGCCAGGCTAGATGGTTTGCCAGCCTCATCCCTGCCTGGCCCAAGTCAGCCTCAGGGTGCTGGGCCGGCAGGAACCTCCCCAGCTCCAGTTCCTCCCAACAAACCTGCCCAGTCTCACTTCCTCCTCACAGACCTGCTGCAAAACAACAGGCCCTGCAAAGCTCAACCTCTACAGGAAAGCAGAGTAGCTACTGGTATAAATAAACTTCCTATTTTGAGTAAAACCATTGATGCTGTATTTCTTCAGCACGTTGCCTAATACGTTTAGGAAATAGCTTCACTGTGACTTCTATCACCATGGAGCTCTTGTTCCACAGTTAAGAGTCTCATTAGAAGCTAAATTATTTGTGAAGCTAATTACATCTTTTTTTGGCATATACAACAGACCATTGTGTGAAAAAGCTACAGGAGGAGTTGAGAGGCTCACCTACAAAGTCAGCTTTACACTGAACCTAAGGCTGAACATAGCCTGAAGTCAAATCAAGACAGACTGAACACCTTTGTAACAGTCCCTGTTCCTGGAGCACTTCCACGGCTCCCACAGTTGCAGTGTCTGACCACAACCATGGGTCCACAGGCAGGGATGTGGGAAGGACCAGCCCACAGCAGGGCAGGGCAGCAAATCTTCCCAGCTTTGTTCAAGGCCTGCTTCATATTTGCCTGGCCTGCATCTCCCCCACACTTTTAAATGTGAGCTGTGAAAATCCACAAGCCCCGAGTTCATCCCACAGCTGAGAAGAAACAAGCATTTCACACTTCATGTGTTTATTTTTAAATCCTAAGTACCTTAGGAGCCCATGACACACTTTCAGAATTGACATGGCTGCTTGAATTTGATTCAAAGCTGTCCAAGAGAATAGATTTGCTCCCACTCAGCTCTGGGCACTTTGGAGCCAACCAGCTCCTTTGAAAGCCTTCCTCATTCCCTGTTCCCAGGTGGGTATGGCAAAGCACAGAAGTGGTGCCAGTACCTTCCTACCTCTTGGCCAGAAATAGCTGCATTTCAGGGGCTGCAGCTGCAGTTTTGAGCAGCAGGTTGGAGGGAGACTAAATAGAAGGAAAAGGCAATGACAGGAATTGCAAAGGAAAAGCAATGATGAGTGCAAGAACACAGAATGAGACTAAGAAAGACACTCTGTGACTGAGGGGGAAAGATTTTCTTGGATAGTGGTTTTAGTGACAAAAAAATTACTGCTGCTCTGCTGGTTAACATAACCCCGTCAACCTGGAGCTCAGCTGGTGCCACACACACACTCCTCATTAACATGGGAATTGCCCTACCTGTCTTACATGATGCTAAAGAAGACAGGTAACATCTGTCAGGCTTGTACAGCAGCCCAGCAGAATATTAATCCATCAGCAACTGCCCTGCATTGGCTATCAAACCAAATTTGAATTTTTATCTTGCTAACGTTTTCCAAGAAATATTAACAGAGGATAGAAAACTTCTGTTAAGAAGCACATTTTAGTGCAGACTTTGAGCAACAGTTCCTTAAACCATTACAGAGAGTGTGGAGCATATAGAAATAAAAATTGTAATTAGAAAATACACAGGTTTTTGCTCAGGCCATGCTACAAAGAAAATATAACTGAACTAAGTGTAAATTTTAGTATAGTACTATCATTGCTACATTTATTTGGAAAAGAGGGGATAAAACTTAAACCTGTTATGAGGAACAATTTGCATTTTCCTGGAAGACAGCACATGCTGTTCTTATGAAGTCTGGGGAACTGTGAGGAGGAATGAATGGTGCTCTTCCTCTGCTAGTTGGGGGAGATCTACCCTTAGGGTTTCTTTACATATCTTACATTGAGGTAGGTCCTGAGGAAACCCCTGCTTATCCAGAAGTTTCCTAACGGTGGAGCAGGGAGCTGCTGCTCAGGGACACCTCGTCAGGGCAAAGCACAGGGAGGGGGTGCAGCAATCAGAGATCAGGGCTCTGTGTTGAGGCATCCACCAAGGGGCAAACACGTTTGTCAATCAGAAAGGCAGTTTCTGTTCAACGGACACATCAAATACAGGAGATAATTTCTCGCTGAAGCCAACCACATGAATACATTTTCCTCTTACAACAGAACCTTATGAATGCAAAAATAATTGCTGATCTTGTGATGTGGGGGGCAAGCTGCACACTAGTGCTGTGTTGTGCAATATCCTGTAAGTTTTCACTTTAAAAGACTTATTGCATAGCTAAAGCTTCCATCCTGCAATATATTATCCTTATATAATAATATATATTTTAATATATTCCTGCCTTCTTAATCAAGCTGGGCATTACATTTCCAGGCAAAAAATATGAAATCCAAAGATGCTTTGCTTTAAATAAGGTGCTAGCTTCAAAACTAAGCAAGGATTTGAGTCATGGTAACGTGACTAAGCACAGGAGAGTTTAGGGAAGAGGAGCCATGAAGAACTGGCCTGGCCAGATTGTCAGCTGGCATTAATCATCCTCACACTACTCCCATAGCTTGATTTATTCTCCCTAGAGACCAAGACATTGAAAAGTAACTATAGCAAAAGTAACAGCTCTAAAAGTCATGTGGCTTGTTTTCCAAGGAACTTCAGCAATGCAAGGGCTGAAGCTCCCAGGGCTTCTGACCCACAGCTGTGTCCCACCCTGTGCACTGCACTGTGCAGTCAGTGGGTGCACAAAGAAGGAGAATCACACATAGGTGTGGTCATGCACAGTTAGTCCTAACATCAACACTGACTTTTGTATTTCCTCATTGTATTTTTATTAGTTTTAACTGCTCAAATCTATTACTGCAGTGGGGTGGGGAGGGCTTCCTGGAAGAGTCCAGAGGATGGTGGTTCATTGATATGTGTTTTTGTCTCTGCCCTTCTGTTTTCTACCAGGAGAGGGTTTACCCTGAAGCATGGGTGGAGAGAAAGAGAGCACAAGCAGAAAGAACTGCCAGGCAATGGCAGGAAGAGTTCATATGGCTTCATGTCTTTCTTTAAGTCAGTCCTAGATGCTGGATAAATGATTACCCAGAAAAGAGGCAACCACATAACATCCTGTTTATTCAACTTTGCGATGTTAGAATTTCGATATTGAACTTTCATTCTCCAGTTGCAAGAGAACCTCAGATTACCATAGTGAGAGAAATGACTAAGGTCCTTTTACCTTGTAACTGCAGGGAAAGAGCTTGAAAACAGGAGACCAAAAGGATTTTCAAACAAAAGTTAAACAACAAGTATGGAGTGGATCTCATCTTTTCAGTATTTGCTGGTTTTAGGTCATCTGTGAATGTTTGGGCTCAGCTGGTCCTTTCTAACCTGTGCTACCTCACAGCTCCTGGGCTCTGCGTGCCTGGGAATGCTCCTGGCAGCAGGGTGGGAGCCTGGAGGGAGCTAAGCAGGAGCATTTTGCTTGCAACTGCTGGCTCTGCTCCTTAGCAAACAGGAGGGAATTCAGCCTATAATTAGCAACAGCTCACCTGCTCTGGGAGCCGCTCGTAGAGCTGAGGACACTCACTGCAAGCAGGTTCTTAGCATGGTGAGACAGACAAATCCATGTCCCTTTCAAAAGTGGTTTCTGGCCCTAGGAATTGGGAATGTCAGTGGTTTTATGGGGACTGGATATATTCTTTACACTGCATCCTTCTGTCCAGGATCACTTACAGTATCAAACACTAAGATTTTGCTTGGAGACAAATTTGGATTTTTACTAAACTAAATTTAGAACTCAGAACATCATTAAATTAGTTTTAAGCTATATATAAAATGAAGCTGTATTTTAAAAAGAATTTAAAATACAGATACACTGAATATAGGAAACACATAGTAAATGTTCACTTACCCAAAAAGCATCTTTAAACTGCAGCTGGGTCATTATTATTGCTCTGTGGAGGGGTAGGAATCCTTCAGCAGGTCCGTTGTGGGGTGAGAGCGGCAGCAGGCACAGCTCTGAGCCTCGTCACTGCACCCCAGCTCAAGCAGAGAGTGCAGCACATCCACAGACCTGTCCCTCCTGAAGTCAGGCTGCTGCCAATAGCATGGGGCTGCTCCAGGCAACTCGGAGAAATGACCTGTGGCTGTGAGGGACAGAGGGCAAAAGAGCTGTTGTTCACACACAGAGACATGCAAGTGCTCAGCACCCACATCCCAAACCTGTTTCTCTTCTGGTAAACAGTTAATATTGAAATGAGGAAGCAAGGAGATGTCAAATGGTGTCAGGCTGCTCCTTGCCATGGGTGTGTGTTTGAGCAGACAGGAAAAAAATAGAGAGGAGGGGAAAAAAAGGCACTAAGTTCAATGATATGATTTGATCAGCTGCAAGAAGAGAGAGAACAATCACGGTGCAAAGGAAACCAGCACAGTACAGAGACAAGCTATTATCTAATGCTGTGGTCTTGCAAAGAAAAAGAAGCAAAAGAAATATAGGTGCCCCATTTCTGCAGCACCTTCTGGGGCTGGCAGAGGCCCATGCTTTTGCACACAGGAAGCTTAGCTCAAAGCTGCATTTTGCAGCTGAAAAGACTTTTCAGGACTCGGGTTAAATTAAGAACTCTGAGAAGTGTGCAGGTGTCTGCACACATTTAGATACCTGGACATCAATGTAGAGAACACTTCTGATTTGCATGCCCTCATATGAATATGCAAGATATGTGAAATTTAGAAGTAAAATCCAAAGTCTTGAAAAAGAAGAGAGCTAAGAGTTTCTTAGCACCAGGACCTGAGTGAAGCCACACAGACCAGTGAAGCAGTAGCACCCAGACCACACCCAGCATCCCTTGACACCAGGTATTTCAGGCAGTGCCCCAAATCAGCTCTTCCAGTTGTTTTAACACAGCTGCAAATACCTGATCACAGGGTAACACTTCTAAAGCTTCCTTGAAACCCTCTCCAAAGCACTTGTCCTCCAGGTGAGGTTGAGCATTCTTAAATACATGCTTTTAAATACTCACTGGCATTCTTGGGGTGTAGGAAAAAAAAAAGAAAAATAGTCCTGTGGTGGTTTCCCATGCAAAAGCTGTTTGTCCACAGCAAGAACACATCAGGACTTACTGATCTCCAACCAACTGACGCTGCTCTGGGTGTTGCTGTTTTCCTGCTGTCACACAGCACCAGCTCCCCCTGGGCAGATCATTCCAAAGTGGGGAAGTCTTGCAACTTCTTGTGGCTCTGCTCAGAGAGCTCTGCAGCAGCTGGGGCCTGCAGTTACCCCCACTCACTCCATGGGCAATTTGCAGCTGGTGTTTTAAAGAATTTGTAAGGCTCCTTCCTGATCATCTGAAAAAGACAGGGAGTGTACAGAAAAATTGTGAGGGAAAATGAAGTGCAAGCAGACAAGGACAAACAAGAGTATGAAGAGTCAGAGATATAGCAGGAAGAAAGCATCATTGCATTAGAGTGGGAGAAGGAGAAATGTGAGGATTCACTTGCAGATAGGGTTGAAGAGAAAGGAGTGAAGCTTTCTCCCAGAAGGGAAAATTCCTTGAAAAATGTATTTTGAGGGCATGGGCACTAGTCCTACTTGATCTGTATGCAAAAAAAGAAAAGGATCTTTTTTAGAGTGTTTTATCTCAATCCTTCCAAACCTAAATGTTTCCTGTTACTATTTCCAAGTTACAGCTGTATTTTGAAACCATCTTTGCTGCTGTTGGGGTTCATAAAAATGCACTGAGTGCATTTTAGGCCTCTAAAATGATATGCTACTTTTCTGTTATTTTTAGTTTGGCCTCCAGCCACAAAGCCAATTATTTGACTGAACCTCAGGCTGGGCTCTGTGCCTGCATCCATCCCACCCAAGAGCTCTGGTGTAGCACAGTCACCTCCTCAGCAGCTCCCAGGGATGCTCTCTCAAACACCATCAGCACAGGCAGTTCACTCTGTGCTGTGGGTGAGTTTCTCAGAATAGCCCAGACCAGGTCTCCAGTTTGGGTACTTTGATGAGCTGTCAGAGTGGCTGGTGTGAGTCCCAGCTCTGGCTCTGATGAAACAGGTTTGGGTTGATTTGTGTCCCTGCTCCCAGGTGCTGGTGGTGCTCAGTTATGTCCATAGGGCACTGGGCTGTGCAGGGGTAGCCAGGATTTGTAGGGCTTTAGAAAAGGGACACAATTCTCTATTCCCCACTGCTCTAAATAGGAACAGGACATCAAGGCCTCCAGTTCTGAAATGTTGTATCTCAGGATTGGGTTAATATCTTGATGTGTGGCCAGAGTTGTGTGCAGTGTGGAAAGGCTGAGTCTGGGAGGGAGCTCTGTGGGGCTGAGGCAGGGAGCAAAATCACTGAACCTCTCTAGGCTGTGAATGCTGTGATGCCATCTACTGAAACTCCCTCAGCATCCTGCAATTCCCCCTGCAAAAGCAATGTCACTATTTTCGGACCAAGAAGCAGCATTTCAGTGGGCCAGGGAGGGGTTGAGATTTGTCAGGATGCTTTGGACACCTGCAGGGCCCTTCAGCTGCCCTTTCTCACTCTTTTAAAGGGGATTTTAGCCTGACCTGACAGATTCACTCAGAAATCCAGCAGTGTCAACAAGGCGCCACTTTCCTGACAGCCACTGCATCTCCTTCCACCACCGCTCTTAGAGGTTAAAAATCAGGTGTTCTGTTTGATAAGGCCAAGAACACATTTCCTGAGGGTTTTTTCCCCAGCAATTAAATTGTTTGGCAGCAGAATGTACCATTTGAATCCATTCTGTAATGAAAAATGAGGATAAGTCTGACTTTAAAAAAATATAAAAAAGTTTTTAAAGCTCTCAAATTTTCTCATTCTTTAGAATGAAAGTTTAATTTAATTTGTAACTATATATTACTTTGAACAAAGCTTTTTATTTTTATATTTGGATTTGACAGTAGGCAAAATATGAAAATAGTATCTACAAACATTTTTGTGCTCATCCAGGATGCTAAGCAAGACATTCTTCACAGGAAATGTTTCTGATTTTGGGGAGTCTGATCAAATAGACAGTAAGCCTTTTATTCTACGTAGCAAGAGGATGAGGGAGTCTATGAAAAGTATTAAAGCAGAAGATAAAGAAATGCTGAATACTCAGCTAATCCTGATGTTGAGCTGGTTGTAACTTTCAGAAGTCCTTGGGTATATTGTGGTGCCTTGGAAAGGTGGTTTGGGAAATGCCAATGGAAACTGGAAGGCACTGGTGCAGCCCTTCCCAGCTTCCAGAACGGTTACATCTGAGATACAGCTTCCAAACACTGCTGCAGGGCAGCCATGTCCAAACTCCAACAGCCCAGCCTCTGGTGTCAGAGTCCCACAGCCTGGGGACAGCAGCAGCAAGGAAACCACTGCCAGAGGAAAACCACGGCTAAAACAGACACAGTTCAGCTATGCCCGCTGTTCTAATTTCATACAAATGGATCTCCGAATTTCCATGCAGGGGATGTCAGGGACTTGCAAATTATCCCCAATCATACCCATTAAAAATGTTGAAATCACCTTGCCTTCTGTGAGGAGCCAGTCTCTGTTCCCATGGAAACAAAAGCTGCAGCCTCTGAACACCTGGCTTGGTTTGTTCCAGCTACTCTGGGCCATCGTGGCTGCGGCTGGAGGCTGCTTCAGCACGGCCGAGACCCCACACCAGGGCCCTGCTCCGCTCTGAAATGCAACTCCCTCTGCTCCTGTTAGAGGGAACTTCTGAAAAGGCCTTCCAAAAGCAGTCTCACAGTGCAAGACAGTCCTGCTAGTGCTCTGCTTTAGCAAAATCCGTAATTACTATAAAGATTAATTGCACAGGCTCTGTTCTTACCTCTTATCTAACATTTTATAGCAGTTTCTAATAGAGGCCATCACTGAAAGGTGGATCTTGTTCTGCTGTTTTACCCAAGAGAAAGATCATCAGCCTTTGCCATAATCATAAAGAACATGAATGGATTTCCTCTAGAATTAACATTATGATACTTTGCATATAATAAAATTGTTTGTATCATAGAAATGTGGGGTCTTCTTGTGCTTGTTATGCCTTTAAACTATCCTTACCCTTTCAAATGTTTCAAAAGCAAAAAAAAAAGAAAAAGGGAACTGTGGAAAAGTGCAATGTCATCAGGGCCTTGAATAGCACAAGCAGGATCGGGTTGTTCCTGGGAGAAAGGTAGAAGTACTTTGTGAAACAGATAATGAAATTATTTGGGGTTTTATCCCCCTTTTCTTGTCATAAATCCAGGTACCTGCTGGAAGATGTTTTTAATTTCTCTGACACCTTTTGAATGCTTTATCAATACACTGGTTTTCTCCATGCCTTTATTCAAAGCAAATCACTACTCATCTGCAAGTACTGCACATTGATTAGCCAAACAGGCAATGCTGGTGCTGCTGAGATTTCTATGTCTCAAAAGGACCCTTGGATCTGTGTCCCAAACATATCATCTGCAGCAGGTCTGCCTCTGGACCAAATGTCCCTTCTTCAGCAGTAATGACTTGTTTAGCATCATAGGTGGCAACACTTTAGCTTCCTTCAGCATATTGGAGCCAATATTCTGCATGTGTGCTCATATAGAAACATTGCCAGTTAGTTTATAATATTTTTTGTTTGTTTTAATATTCCAGGGCACACTGGATTTATTAGACTTTATTTTTTTTAAAATCACACCTCACCACCACTATGGCAAGAGCTGTACTCATATTCACAAGGAACTGACATAAATAAAACATGGGTAGAAAAAATCCAACCACTAAAGTTAAAAAAGTGTTTTGAATTTCTATTACTATGATATCTAAAAATATAGTGTATGTGGTTTTGCTCTGGATCAGAATTCTTAACCTTCTACTGGTGACGCATCAGCACTTACCCCAAAAGGAATTCCATTTGTTCTGAACATACTTAAGAGGTGGGATCCTGGCAAAAACAAGGCAGAACTAGCTGCTTTTACTCAATAGAGCTGGGAGGAAGGAAAACAGTCAAGGAGGACATTGTGAGAGCATTACAAGAGTTATTTATGTAGGAATTAAAAAAACCCAACACACTCCACACAAGCTGTTCTGTGAGGCTTTGGCTTTGTCTGGAATAATCAGCTCATTTCTTTCCAGGAGACAGAAATGAATACTTGGACTTTCCTACACTGAACGTGTAGTGCCATTAACCCCTCAGACTATTTCAAATAATCAAAAAATGGGACAGCACTCACTTGTGGAGCTTTCAGCTGAGGTTA